ATAGACTGGAGCTGCATGAATAATGCATGATGGGGGGGCTCTTTAAAGACTTTCTCCTAGACTATCTTCTCTATAAAGTCAATACATTTAGCCGTTTCTTCGAGACTAATTTACATTCACTTACTGGGAGAGTCCAGGCATGAGCCATTAGTCAAAGCCTGGAACAGTGGTGGAACATAAAGGAAAAGGGACAACACGTTTCAGAAAACTTTTATAAAGAGCCAAATCTTCAGTTTTTGTGTATGAATGAAGTACTTTTAGCGCTTAACAACATGTTCAAACAAGACAGATTTTCTGGGAAAAGGGGGATAAAAAACGTGCTCGTCGAATTTTTTTAATGGAAAAATGTCTTAATATTTAAATATATATCATTCATTTATACACCGCTCTTTATCTTCTTTCCTCTCCTCTCTTCGAGTGTGTGTGTTTCCATACTACGCTCAGATTTTATTTTATTCACTAGAGATTAATATTTTAAATCCGAAAATTTAAATTATTATTTTAGAACTTTTAATTTTAAATTGCATTCAATTCAAGTTAAACTGCAATTTTCTTAGTATATCAGCACATTATTTTTAAAAGAGCACATTAAGACATTTTACCAAATAGTATATTACCTTTACGATGTATCGAAAGATTGTGAAATATCGATATTTTAAAACATCACATTAATGATATTTTGAAAAATGTTTTTCTTATCTATTGTAAATATATTACCTTTACGATGTATCGAAAGATTGTGAAATATCGATATTTTTAAACATCACATTAATGATATTTTGAAAAATATTTTTCTTATCTATCGTAAATATATTACCTTTACGATGTATCGAAAGATTGTGAAATATCGATATTTTTGAACATCACATTAATGATATTTTCAAAAATATTTTTCTTATCTATAGTAAATATATTACCTTTACGATATATAGAAAGATTGTGAAATATCGAAATTTTTAAACATCACATTAATGGTATTTTGAAAAATATTTTCATTATCTACCGTGATTAACAACAATTATCAAAAACACAATAATTATCGATAATGATAACATCGCGATTATTATCGAGAGTGATAAATATTGTAAACAATAATATCGAAAGTATTATAGGTAATGAAGACTACTTGAAACAATAATATCGCGAACAATATTAACAACGATAGATATCTAATACGATTATATTACGCGTACCATCAGTAGGGATGCTTATCACATACGATACAAACCTGATTGTCGTTAAATTTCATTTTTGTTATGAAACATTGACCATCGTAAAAATAATGCGAATTAGTGAAATTCGGAAAATATCGCAATATATCGTAAGCACTAATATTTTCTGACGATACTTCGCAATAATAAAGTACCAAGACGTGGTGGCTCGGGTGATACAGTGCACTCTCTCTTAATGAGGTGACCCGGGTTTGAATATGAATTTCGGTATGAATTATGGTAATGACATATATGGTAAAAAAAATTAAAAAACAACTTAATTCTGGTTAATAAATATACCGTATTTAAATTATTCATTTGGTAATTTTTCCGCACCGGCTTTACGGGAACTCCGGTTTTGAAAATTACAGCTCTTACTACCACATATTTAGTAAAAAATACAAAACTGCGAAGTAAATTTAACTGAATAAATGGTTTTTATACCACGCTCTAAGATATCATGATTAAATTACCAAATCTTACCATATTTACCGTAGATCCAAAAACACGGTAAATTTGACCATATTCTGGAAGTTTTGACCATACTTTTTTTCGTAGTGTAGAGCAAAGGATACAGCTTTTCATTGTATTAATCTAAGCCCTTAAATAGTAAAAAAAATTATTGAATTAAAATAAATGTTCAATGAATTTTTATTAATGTCAATGATATATAAACTTATAAAAATGATATATATCATTACGTATATATATCATGATATATAATGATACATATCATTACGATATATAACATATATCAATGATATATATCTTAATTAGGTTTTCGTGAAACCGAAAGAGCTTGTGAAATGTAAAGCTTTCCTTAGTTTTTTCTCTCATATTTATTTTAGCATTGTGTAAAATTACTTTTTTTCCCCTCAGAATTATATAAAAACTTACACGTAGTTTCAACCTGGAGACACATATATTTTTAACTCTCTTATCAAGTGTTGAAGAAACAACTAAGATAATTTTCTTTTTTACCTAATTATTACAAAGTATACTGTCGATGAACTCTTTAATGGCATTTTTATCTATAAAACAAGACAAAGCTTTTAAGTTTGATCATTCTTCATTTTTTTCTAGTAGGAGTGCATCCTACTGTTGTTTTTTACACTAGTTTCTCTTCAGGTTGTTCAATACGCATTCTAGGATTTTTCGTTCCTAGTGCGATGTAAGGCATTTTAATTATTTCTGACTTACATGACAGAGTTGTTTTCGATTTTAAATAAAGGTTAGACCTATAAATAAATGTAGTTGCCTTTTCTAAATACAGAATCATCTTTAATATACATGGTTTTAGATTCCTAATTAAAAATGAAGTAAAAAAAAGGATAAGGAATAGAAAATCTATGTTTAAGTGAAGAAAAACAATTATCAAAATCAGACAATTCATTATCGAAATTAATCACGGGAAAGTTGGAATGTAAACCTTAAAAACTTCATCAATTGTTTTCAGGACACAGAAATGTTATCTCACGGTCAATCAATCAATCTTTGGACATCCTGTTTCTCCCGATAATAGAACTGATGCTGATGTTTTAAAACTAGGGTTCGCAGCGATTTACTTCGTTAATGAGGCATCATATTTTGAAGAATATCATACTTTTAGAATAACAATTATCAAAATCTGACAAATCATTATCGAAATTGATCATGGGAAAGTTGGAATTTAAACTTTAAAAACTTCGTCAACTGTTTTTAGGACACAGAAATGTTTTCTCAGTCAATCAATCAATCTTTGGACATCCTGTTTTTCCCGATAATAGAACTGATGCGGGCGTTTTAAAGTTAGGGTTCACTGTGATTTACTTAGTTAACGAAATATCATAATTTGATAACACTTCATTTCTTTGCGGCACCTAATGTATAGATAAGTAGTTTATTTTTATAAGGATTCTAAAAGTGTATACAATGAGCGGTGGTTGCCGAACATCCTGTACAGAAGGGAAATTATGAAAAAAATAACGTACAGTTTTTTTTCTTCTAGGAAAACGATAGTTTTAATAACTAAAAAATAAATATTATTGCCATTAAACATCTTTCTTTTTTTCAGTCATCGCTTTAAATATACTGGATTGATAATTCTAAATAGTGGATTGATAACTCTAAAAATTCGCGATAAAAATCTCGAATTTGTTCCAAGCCTTCTAATTTTTCCTAATTATAGTATGAAAAACAAGATTCAGTTATACAAATTCTTTTTTAAATATTCTTTTCAAATATTCTTCTTAAAAGTCAATTTTTGGTCAATCAGGTTTATAAGTATGAAATTTAAATAAAATCTTTCAATTAATAATACGAGGATAATCACATAATATGATTAGGACTGAATTCAATCTCTAAGAACGATTTTAATAACTATTTATTTGAATTCCCTAGAATTCGCGACCATTTTATTCTTAACGGTTAATCGTTAAGAGCTGTTATTTTTTTAAAGTGTTGAAAATGTTTCGTACAAAAACAATTTAACGCTTTCGTATGTTGAAATTATCCAATATGCATGCGAAAGGAAAAGTCAAAAATTGCATAAGTAAAACAATTTTTCAAAACGCTTATGATTCCGGTTTAATAGTTTTTTATTAATATTGTTGATATGAAATACGAGCCGCGTCTGTTTTTTCCCTTTAAAAATAAATAAATGAATAAATGAATATGTAATTTTACATTCCTATATTTCATTTTGTTTTTCTAAGACAAAGCAAAATGGCGTCTTTCAAACATTTGGATATAATGACGTTTTCTTTGAAATGATTGAAGTAAAATTGTCTTCGTGTCTTTTATAAAACAGGACGAAACTATTAATCATATTCTGAGTTTTGATAAATGAGTAAGTTATGCAAAATATGTATGTATATAAGTATTTCAAAATCTATGAATTTGTTTTAGATTTTTATTGAAATGATAATTATATCTATATTTTAATCTAAATATTTTCGTACAAAATATCCCTAGTTTTATAAAAATAAATCTTGTCATTTGTATTCTTGAATATTTTTGCTTGTGTGATGTTTTTCTTGCAGAAAAACTTGTTTACTTAAACATGATATTACGTTTTATTAGTTTGATATTTATACTTATAATTCTTCATATTTAATAAAAAAATATTGTTACGATATTATGTTAATTACATTTATTTTTAATTACCAATAAGTTTGCTAATAAATTTATGGAACTTTAAAAACCACTGCCTGCAGTGATGTCTGACATAAGCTTTGCCTTTTAAGAAAATGGAGATTATTATATAAAGCAATTATTTTTTCACCAAATTTTCACACAATAAGAGGACCAATGTTCGAATCCCAGCGATGACTGGTTGATTTGAATTCTGCACCCGGTTGGCACCAACCACGAGACTGACATAAAATATCCTCAGTGATAGACAGATCATGGATCCCCTTGCCGTTGGGCTAACCTCATGAGATTTTCGTGATTTTTTTCACTCCATGTAACGCAAATACCGGTTAGTTCCATCAGAAAGTTCCCCACGACGGCAAATTTCTCTCAATACTTGATCCAAGAGTTCCCCTGTCCTCTGGATTGGGTTTAAAATTACAAGGCTACGGAGTTGAACATTAATAGTCGAACACTCAAAATCGGGTCGGCTTTTCAATGACGGTTATAAAATAAAATAAAATGAAACAATTTCATGTTTTCAATGTTTGTGGATAATAGTTCATAGCCTTGCAACAATCTATAAAGTATTTTAATTTTAACAGTTACTGAATAAAAACATTTTTACTTAGAATATCACTTGTTAAATACGAGTTTTTTTTTATTTTTTCTGCTCAGAGAAGGCAAGATGCGAAGCCCAAAGAGCAATAGCTTTAGAACAAGGCACAGGAAAAGGTCTTTTCGTGCCAGAATGCAAGGATGATGGTACTTATGCGGAAGTGCAATGTCATGTATCTACTGGGTACTGTTGGTGCGTTGATGAATCTGGAAAACCCATCAGAGGATCATCGATTCAAAATGCTCGACCCAACTGTGCCCAAAAAGGTAAGCTATAGAGCCACTGTTCTAGATTTCTAGCAATTTAGTTATCGCCTTTAATTTGACCTTTTAACAATTAACTTTTAGAGCCATTCTAGACTTTTATGTGACTATCTTGTTAAAGTTTGTTTCCTCTACCCTGTTGTTCAACTGCCTTTTTTCATTGTTATATTTATTAACTTTCTAATGCTTCTCTGTATTCCCCTCTGTGTTTCGACACTAAAGAAGGTTTTTTATTATAGAACCAAAACTACAGCCTGTTAGTGACAAAATTTGAACTCTTCTCACGTTATTTAGCTTTAGCTTCATTCACATACAGCTCAAAGTTAACTATTTATTCACTTGGAAACCTAACATTACCATTTATTTCCATATAAAATGTCGCTCTTTCCGTAACTTAGTAATTTTTTCCACGTTAATTTGAGATGGCTTAGGGAGGTAATGGAGGTTTCTCTTCTTCTTGAGATAATCAGGACTCGAATCTAGGCTGATAGATTTGCTTACTGCTTCTGAATTGCATTGATCTCAGTGATAACGCAGAATACCTGCTGTGATAGACATAACATAGGCTGCGTTAGTATACCATTGGCCTGACCTATTGTCCTGAAGTATTGATAAAAAATTTCTTAAAAAGAGATATCTATTATTACCAGCTTAAAGCTTGCGATTGTATATTTGTAGTAGTGTCACAAACACGCTTTAAGGCTGTCTTGTTGATTTTATCAGTTTGAACACGATTTACACGAGATCGTAAATGTGTTAGTATAAGTTAAGTAAAGCAGTTCCGGAACTGGAAGATGTTGGCCGACGAGGTGATGAAGGTTAAGGCTTCACAATTTTAAGACCAAGGGGATGGCTATGTGGTTGGTATTGTACACCGGTTTTTTCCCCTTTCCAGACAATCTGATGTTCATTAATCCTTCAGATTGCATGAGCAGCCCTGGCCAGCTCACCCATAAGTGCTTACAATCTAAAAAAAAAAAAAAATTTAATAAATAAATAGGAAATTTCAGTTACAAACAATACGATAAATTTGTCTAATATTGACTGTTTATATTTTTTTAACCAGATGCTAAAACGTGCCCAATCTTAATTCGGTCCTCATTTAAAACAAACTAACACTTTGAGAAAAATCGATTCATGGTTTAACCCCAATGTCAGTATTCTGAATAATATTATCTTGCTAATTTGCTGCAATGAAGCGTGAACCTTGTCTCAGTTTAGGTTGAATTATATTATCGCGTAATCACGTTAAAAAAAAAAAAAAAAGAACTAATTTACAGCATAATAGGGCACTATATTAAAGTTGCTGCAAATTTAAACGATATTTTGGTTCAACCCGCTTCAAAATGTTCAACTGTCTCATTAACATGCTTTCTAATGGAATAATATTTGAAGGAAAAATAATTAAACGATATATAAAAAATTCTCCTACGTGAGTTCAAACAATATATAATTTATTTAATTTAGTTTAGCAACTTGCTAGATAATAGTTTTTAATAATAAGACCTTGATTCACAACAAAATCATATTTTCATTTTTAAGCATGGCAAATGCCATTATAAAAGTTGTCTTTATAAATTTGTTATTTATGTTTTGTTGAGCCTTCAAAGTTACTCTTTGGAAAATGTTTTAAGGCAAGCAAACAGTTCCCGTTAAACTAATATTTGGCGAAACTGGAAAGGGTTGAATTTTAATTTTGTAAGATATAGCTTTTCGTTCCACGTTTGTTCTGTTGACTTGCTTTGTTCTGTATGCTCAAGTTTGCTATTCAGCTTAAATGAATAGATAGCAGTTTCACTTTCTAAAATTTATTCAGATCGAAAAGTGCTCTTTCAAAACACTCGACTGCTTTTAAAAACTGTTCTGGGAAAGTTGTTTCTTCAATATCAGGATTGTGCAAGGACATACGGAGAAGTTATAAGTTAAAGAAATCAAAACTAAAGTAAATTAGAACAATGTATTCAACCTTTTAGTGTTCTAAAGTGAATGAAACTATAGCATAAATGCTTTATTTGCGACTAACTTTGACGAGTTATAAGGAAAGAAAGAAAAAACAGACTTTCACCATTAAAACTGAGGAAAACCTAGCAGCTTTACTTTTCTCAAGGATTATTCCGTCTCTGTCAGAAAGTTTCATTACTTTTGAAAAATGGTTGAGATTCTTCTTTTTTAAAGAATGGGGCGTAACGAATGGAGGGTAGAGCATAATAAAAGGACAAGTCACATGCCCTGCAAAAAGCTTTAAAAGTTTTAACCAAGGTGGGAGACTACATTAAAAGCTCGTTTGGAAACCTTTGTTGTATAAAAGAATATGTCTCCAAATGGAACACGATTCTAAAGAAAACACTTTAATGGTACATCTGACAGAACATAATACATTTATCAAATAACAACTTCTCCTGTCTCGTTGGTGTGTGTTATTAATGATGTTCCAACTCGAGTATGTCGTCAGAGTTTTTATTTTCTAATAAAAAAGTGTTATTAATTGTTATTTCACAGCAGCTTTATTACTATTGACACATTAATTTTATTAATTTTTTTTATTTCATTGAAAGTATTACATTGTATTTAAATTAATTGGAAATAAAGCTTAAAAGTTCTAATTTAAAAAGATAAGTAGAAAAGTAGAAAAGTGTGTAATATATGCAAGAGAAAAAAAATTGAAACTTTTTTTTTAAACTGAGTTTTAAATTTATTTATGATTTAATTTTTTATTTCATTTCTTAACCAAACCTAACTCAAATCAAAAATACGTTCAATATCAAAAAATGTTATAATTTGGAATTTACCTGAACAACACTACCTGCATCGATAATGTTTAAATGAAATAATTTCTCGATGTGGTTTTTAATTATGGGGTATTACGTAAGCAATAATTCAAATATTACGTAAGAACCTAAAGAGGGGATTGTGTTTTGCTTATTTTTGCTGAAAAGGGGGAAGAAGGTGTATGAGAATGCTTAAGTGAAACCTTAAGATCACCTTATTTTCAAGTCATTTTTTTTTCAATCAAAAGGGGAAAAATGTAACTTTATTTATTATTCGGAGAAAAGTTACATTCAGGAAAATTTGAAATAAAAATCAAGTTTACGGAAGGAAAAATCAGAAAGTCTTCTATAAGATTAAAATGTCAAGATTTCTAATCATAGAAGAAAAGCACAAATGATTCCTAAAGAATATTCAACACAAAATTTTATAAAATGAATTGAAGGAATAAAATTTATTTTATTCAAAGTTACATCCTTTATTTAAATTCAGTCCTAAAATTAGATTATCACAGCTGATGTCAAACTTAAGAGGAGACAAGGCAAGGAGTAAAGCAAGAGGCAAGGAGGGGTTTTGCAACTTGATGTCGGAGGGGAAAGGAGAGTTTCAAAATTGCCAAAAAAAATATTTGAACGGCTACTATAACAATAATTCTAAAAAGAATTAGGTAAAGTGCAAGATTTATAATTAAATAAGTAACTACTGTTGCAAAGAATAAAGATTCATATAAAGCCCATTTCCTTTACTAGGAATTGAAATTTTTTTCAATCATAGTCAAGGTAAGTCAGCATTCAAATAGTATATTTAATTCTAATGATCAAAGAGGCTCTGTCCCTTTCTCGCTTCGCTATGTATCCTACGCTATGTTACGTTTGCTTGTATGCTATTTGCCTGTAAGCATGTGTCTTTTCAGTAGTTTAGGACTAACTTTAAAGAACCTCGTCAATACGTGTAAATAAGATTACAATGTGTCTGCTGCTATAGGGAAACATGGTGCCTTAAGTATATGCATGTAAAATGTTATTATTCTGTACTTTCCATGTCTATTTTAACAGAAAAATAGCCTTATAGCGCCATTTCAACCCTGGTGGTGAAAAAAACTAATTTAAATTTTTCAAAGCCCGCAAAAATAACTTATTCGATTATCATTGTTAACGACAATGCTTGCAATATGATCGTAGTCAGTACATATTGTTATCTATAATGATCATGAGATTATTGTATTTGGCGCTCAACAGTCGATCCACGTAGTATTTGAGGTAACTGCAAAACTCCACACCGAAACCTAGGAATTTTGAACTGGATCGTGTAGACAAGGGAACATCAGGACAAAGTATTGAGACAAACTTGCTTTCGTACAGGCTTCTTGTGGGAAACTAATTCACATTAATGTTTAATGGAGAGGAAAACATTCCACGATTAAACTTATTGAAACAAAACTCTAAGCCATGAACAGTCTACCACTGATAACGAGGTATCTCTTTTGTTAGCTCTGTGGCTGATGCGAACCGGAAGTAACATACGATTTGACCGGGATTACCTTCTTGGGAGTCCCAATAAGAGTGCTTTTACCCACCTGCCATTACGACTCTGAAACACGAAATTTCAAATTTTATCGTGAGTGTTCTTTTTAAAATATTGTTATCGCAATACTTTTAAACTATCGATATTTAACGATGTATAGATATATCGCCGAGCCCTTACCTCCACCATAACCACGCTTCACATTCAAATTAGATGCTAGCACAAAAATTAAATCCAGATGCAACAAATTGTAGTTTTTATTGGAGTGATAATTCCCCCCACACCTAACTCATTTCAAGAGGAAAAAGAAGAAGAAAAAAAAAATGAAAAGAAGATTAATTGGATTCTAACCTTGAATCATTTCGTGGTTGACAAGAGATGTGAATTCATGATGTATGGGTTATGTCGCAAATAAGGTCTAAAGATGATAAATCTTCATTTGTATATCTTTCACTAACCTTTCATTTCCGTCAAATGATGAATTGGGATTGTGTTGTGACATAATCACATGGAATGGATGTCGTCATTTCGAGTTCTCTGATTGTGGAATTTCGGGAGTAATCTTGATCTTGACAAGTCTCCAGTGGTTCGAACATGTTGCAAGTTTATTTATGACCTCTTATTAAGGTATAATTTACAGAGATAAATAAACTGCAATGGACGCTCTTCTGCCTACATCTTGTAGACATGTTTCTATAAACAGCGTTTAGTTA